CAGGATGAGGGCTGTGGTCGGCATCTGCATTCCTCAGGCCCAAAGGAGCTGTCCACAAGGGTGAAGCTCAGTGCAGAAGGCAGAACTTTCTGGGATGTCGTCCAAGGCTGTAGAACAAACTCTTGCAGGGTCTAAGCACCCCCTCAAACCTCACCATTTTCTGTTGCAAATGCCACACATGCTTCTTTGACCTCGTCTGTGCTGCTATAAAAAGATAGCACAGTGTACAAAAGATGGATTTCATTTAAAAAAAAGTTCCCCAAACATTTGCCCCATGGGGAGACAAAGGAAGAAAACTAACATCTGTGACTTGTGGTTCTATGTCACAAAAGACTCCTCTAGAAGACACACAGGGGGAGAGGGAGAGAGATGGCTCAGTGGTTTGAGCATTGGCCTCCTAAACCCAGGGTTGTGAGTTCAAACCTTGAGGGGGGCATTTAGGGATTTGGGGCAAAAATCTGTCTGGGGATTGGTCCTGCTTTGAGCAGGGGGTTGGACTAGATCCAATCCTGACATTCTATGATTCTAAGAACAGAAAAGTTTTAAACAATGAGAAAACCAATGTGAGCTTTGCCCAAGGGTTTGTCTTGAGTATGAAAGGTGTTATTCAGAACACACTAGCTAGCACATTCTAAACCTTGAGCATAGAGGAGGCAATTGTATCTTAGCATGTGCTAAGCTGGTTGAGTTGAAGCCTAGCCCCCCCCCAGGGATGTTAGCTTTACCAGTTGATAGGTTCTAAAATTACAACTGGCCTTGGCTACATTATGGGTGAATCCTGGACCCACTGAAGTCTATGGGAGTTTTGCCTTTTACTTCAATGGGGCCAATATTTCAGTCCTGAGGTTTAGAACGTGCTAGCCAACCCATTCTGTTATCCAGTCAAGCCAAAGCCTGACGAAGGACTAAGTAATGACTGAAGGGTTTTGGCCCAACAATCAAATCAAACAAAAGATTTGCATGCAAATATTCTTAGAGCAAAAATTTGAGGCCCTTGATGCACTTTGATCCCAAACAAAGTAGGATTATGGTGCTCATAAGAACAGTGTTTAGGTGCTAGTTTTAAAAGAAAAATGTATGGATTTATTCTCCCAGTGATAGGTGACTATTAATTGAACCACCACACCCCCAAAAATAGGATTGTACATTGCAGTGAAGACTTAGCACTGTATGAGTGATCTGCTGTTCGCTAACTTACACTGGTGAAAGTGATTAATAAAAAAAAGACAGTACAATGACTTTAAAAATCTGCAGTTTGAATACAGATGCCAACATAAATGCAATTTAACTTTAAAAGTGATAATAGCTTAGACATAGTTTGGCTTCCAGGAGGACAAAGATAATAGCTTTTCTTGTGATCAACACTCAAAAAGGATATTAACAGCAGGTACTGTAGTTTATTTTCCTCACGTTCCCTAGATTTTTGCAACTGTAGCACACAACACAGCAGCTGAAATATTCCCAATGGATTTCACTGTGTACACAACATTTAGAGAGAGAGCTCACAGTCATTGTATGTGCATTAACAATCACACTGATAAAACCCATAATGGAATACTGTAAAAGCAATCACAATTGGCTAAATATACTATGATGGGAAATTGTAGTGTCTTTGCCACTCCTCTGCTGATAAGGCATAATTGGCTCCATTCAATTCATTGGCAAGTCAGCCGGTATGCAAAAGGAAACAATACCCGCATTCTATCTTTCCAAATAGCAATGTTGTGGTATTGTGTTAATGTGGGGAGGAGATAATCCTTCATGAGATTCTGACACTAGCACTTCTGGGGTCATACAGAGGGCAAAGATTCCTCAACGCTATAATATTTCTGTCTGTGCAAATCTGTACATTGATCTAAGTTCTGCATCCATTCTGATGGTACCGCACTGAAAGACTGCTTTCAGAGTAAAATATTCTTGCTCTCTCTCTATATATAGTAGGCTAGAAAGTGACTCTAGAACTAACACAGAGAAAATCATCACAAAAATACCATTCACATTTTTAACCAATGTGCTATAATATTTTTTTCATTCTTATTCTGTATTTCCGTCATAGCACTTGAACAAAAACTTTGCATGCACTGGTCTGTCAAGAGCTTAAACACATATTGAGTTAAACATTTTGCTGGTGTATTTTAACTGACACTGGAGGAGTTGTACAATGGATTAGCTGGTCCACTGTATTTAGGGCCTAATCCAAAGACCGATGAAGTCAATGGAAGCCTTTCCACTGATTTCAATAGGTTTAGGATTTGGCCCTTGGTAAAATCAATTGCAGTCTTCAATGTAATTTATTAAACTGTAAACACTTCAAGGCAGGGACTGAGGCTTTGTGTTTCAGGCATTCATGAATTCTCGGTTGAATTCCCAGCTTTGCCCCAGACTTCCTGTCTAACCCTCGGGGAAGTCAGGCTACCTCAATTCCCCATCACTACAAGGGGGATAATATTATTTCCCTATATCACAGGGAGATTGCAAGAATAAATGCATTCATGTTTCTGAGGTCCTCAAACACTACTGCTTTGAGGGCCATGTAAGTATCGAGAAAGATAGACTGTTTAGGTTTTTCTGTAATGCACCGTGTTGAGCAGACTATTGAGGAAAAACAAATACTAATTCTAAAAACTGATTAATGTACCTGATTGAATTGGAGACACTAAGTTAATGTCTCCATGTTAAGTTTACTTAAACTGTTCCTAGGGCACAGTTTATCAGCACTTCCTAATGATTCATCTAGAAATAGAAAGCAATAATGATATTCTACCAGGAAGAATGGAAAAAGTGAGCAACGCTAGGGATCGTGTCAGGGAAACATACCTGGTGTGGCAGTTCTCATCTGGGCTACCATTTGGAAGTTACAGTGAAATGAAACTAAAATATCCAACAGCTGATTTAGGGAATAAAGATGTGCAAAACCTAGCTGTGAATATAAAAACTATGCTATGGGCAACACAGACTGGTTTTGCATGAAATTATTTCATACCCTTTTGCCTGCTTGACCAATCACTCCCTAAACAAAGGCATAATGAAGCAGTTCTTATTTTTAACTGAATGGGCATGGTATCTGTCCCAGGTCTCTCACTCATTTTTTTTTCCCAATTCGAAATCATGGAATTATGATATTAAGGAGGACTTGAAGAAGTGACATCAAGGATAGAAAATGCATCCACAGCATTCACTAAACTCAACATCATATGGAAATAAAAGATTCACAGCACCAGAAGAAAACTGAAAATTTTCAGCTCAAACATAATCTCAGTGCTAGTATACAACTACAAGAGCTACCAAAATGGTAGACAGAAAACTGGAAACGTTTGAAAATAAGTGCCTATTAAAGATTCTAGGCATTGGCTAGAAAGACCTCATCATCAACGAAGAGATCCAAGAATCACCAAGCAGCGGCTCGTCTCCACCAGAATCACAAGGAAGCGCTGGACATGTTTGGGGCATGTACTCCACATGCCAACGCACAGACACTCACATGAAGTCATCAAATGGAAACGAACTAGTGTGAAGAAACGAGGGCACCCAAGAGGAAACTGCAAGAAGAACCCTTAATAGGGACAGCAGAAACAGTTGATCTGAACAAAATAGAGCATGTAGAAGCAGCAGCAAATGAGAGGAATGGAAGAGACTAGTTTCCACTCCTTGAGCCAACACTGGAGCAGGAAGGCTGTAATAATAAATAGTAAGTGACTTTAATGAACAGGGTGTTTTGATGATATGTTATTTTTAGAATGTTCAATGTAAAAAAAAATCAATGCAGCTGTTTATAGGGTGCTCTGATATCTGTTTGAAACACTGCTGCTAAACAACAGACACCTCCAAGTTCTTTCCCTTTCCCTCTCCGCTCCCTTAGCCCTTCTGCTTCAGCTTCTCCATCTATAAAATGGGGATGTCAACTATCCTGCTTCACAGCAGCTCTGAGAGCATGAATCAGTTGATTTCTGAATAGAGTTTGGATGACGGTGCTTGCTAAGTATCACATTTAAATGCTCATGACAACTACAAACATACAATATCCTGTATTTAACTGTCACTATGCTCTTTCCCCTCTCTCATCCAAGGCACCTACTCACGCAATAAGGCAGTGCTGATACAGAGCTGTTACAAAACTGGAGTTATTTATTATTTGTTGACATAAGCACCTATAACGTGCCACGTACTTTCCAAACACAAAGGAGTGCCTGGCCTCTGATCCAAACAACAGACAAAAGGAAAGAGGATAGTTTATAATGTCTGAGTAAAGTGGTCAAGGAGGTAAACATCCACAGTGAAATACTGCTTGATTATCCCAATTGCTTCCCCCCCCTTTTTAGGTGGGGCATAAAATTAGTTGCTAGCTCTAGGTTAAAACGTGCAGCACAGATCTTAATTCTCAGTTCAAAGGCTCTAACTGCTGCTCACACAAATTAAGAAAAACAAAACAAACATGTTTGACAGATAACCTGTAACTCCTTGATTTTTCACTTTTTACATATAAAAGAAGATGAAAGTCACACAAAGCCTGAAAAAACAGGATGAGAGAAATCAGAATGTCCTCCCTCCCAATCACAAACAGGGCATGGGGCAGCTCTGTAGCCTTTCCACAGACAGAATTCCAGCTCCTTGGCTATAATAGGGTATATAATCCTGACACACCTATTACACAAGGATTTGTGACCACTGAACCTGTGTGTGACTGCAGATGTACCAGATAATTCCTCTCCTGTCACTGGCCACCCTGTAAGCCACATTCACCCTCCACATTGGGATACGTGAGCCTGGCTCTGGGAGATTTTCAGAGTGGGAGTTGCACAGGACCCTGTGTGCCTACCCAGAGTGCAGGGGTGCCATGGCATTGTTGCGCTTCCAATGCTTTGGGGACCTTCTGCAGTTCCAACACTTTTGAGTGAATTGTACTCTACTAAAGTCAACATAAAAAACAATGCCTCATCCTGACCCTGAGATATAATCAGGCTATATTTTTTATACACACATATAATAAAAAGCAAACCAACCAGAGTACAGAAGATGCATTGGCATTGTGCTATTGTTGTCATCTGTTCCACGGGATATTCCCCAAGACAGAGTTTACAGGACACCAAAGGGTCAAGTACCAAGTCCCAGGTAGGCCTGTATCTTGCTGTAGTCATTGCAGAGCAGTCTGAAAAAAACAACAACAAACGTGAAAAAATAAATCACTTCCATCACAACCTTACTACATTCCTGGGCAGTGCAAGGCCTTATTTTCCATATCCACTGCTGTCTATTAACTGTTAGGAAATTAAACACAGTAAATTATTATTATTATTATGTGTACTGCGGTAATGTACAACGTACTGTATTATGTGCATCTCAAAGATACAGCCCCACACCTGAGAGAACATAGGATCTAGATAGACAAAGGATAGGTGACAAGTGCGGAAAAGGGATGTAACATACAAGCAAAGTGATCATGGGGATAGTAGGCAAGGAAACATCCCATTAGTTGCAGATTTCTCTTTGCTGGAAGTTACACACTAAACTCCAACCACCCCCCTTCCAGCCCACAATTCTGCCCTCATCTTTCTTCCACATGGTATATCAGCTTCCTTTCACCCTCATTTGATCCTCCATCCCACATAAGGGCCTGATACAAAGCTCACTGAAGTCACTGGGGGCCAGATTTACAAAGGCATTTAAGTGCCTAATGGGATTTACAAGAGAACCTAAGAAAGTTAGGTGCCTAAGCCCCATTGAAGTCAGTGGGAGTTAGATGCCTAACTTGTTTAACGCAATCTCACTAGGTGGCTAACTATATCTTTAGGCGCCTACATACTTAAATTTTAAATCTGGCCCTGGAATCTTTCCACAAGCTTCAAGGGGATTCAGCTCTGGCCTTCCATGAATGAACAAGCATAGCACCACAGTGCAACAGTGCCAGAATTTCAATTAACTGCATGAGTTTATAACTCAGTCATAAAAGTTCACTTGTAGGTCATTCATTTAATTCTGATCCATTTGGGCAGTGACCAAAAATCTGGAGCAATTAGCTCTGGTGGCATGTATTAAACGAATGTGTGGCTCTATCCAATTCTCAGTGAGCAGTTAACCAAAAAAACCCACAAATAATTGCTTCTCACTGGCACCTCTATCAAATACCTCGAAAGACCAAGGACTAAATAACCCTCTTCGTCCTTAGAGGAGATCTTCCAGGCCAGTGTTCAAGCACAGTGGTGAGGTAGCACAGGATAGGCTTTCATGGCTTTATCTATTTTCTGGCTAAAGAACTTGGAAATTCCAGGAAGTGTTAATGTACTTACTTTGGAAAAGGCTTTGCTCATGGCAGAAACGATCAGAGGCAAACAAACAATATTTCAGTTCAGCCATTGTTAAGTCACAGAAAAGTAGTAATTAACTGCAAATTCCACAAGGCTTTTGTGTATAGCTGTGATGTGCTGCTTATGCTGTTCAGCTGCAGACCCTGATCCATAAAGCGACACTCATATGGTTGAAAAATTAACAAAGTGAGGGCTATCAAATGCACATGAGCATTATTTTTCACAACAGTACTGCCCCGGACACCCTCATTTTTCCTCTTTAATTCATGCTTCAAAAGGCACCAAGTTGCATTCACCTGTTCTCCTGGCTGAGGTAAATCCCTCTCTGAAAGTGCTTATTTAAAAAGAAAAGCCTGGTTCTCCCCTCTCGGGATACGTGCACTGCCTCTGCGCTGCATTATTAGAGCTGAATATGATGCAAATCATGATCTATCCAAAGAGACAGGCAGAGAAACCATTTGAAGTTGGGTGTTAAGAGCATCTGGTCATCGTTACAGTAGAGGTTCTATAGCAGAGGCTGAGGCACAGGGATGCCTGAAGAACAGACATTCCTGATAGGAATCACCTTTGTGAATTGCTCAATATTCACTATGCCCACTCCTAAAGATGCACTGCATTGCAAGAACCAATATTTGCAGATATTTTTGTTCCTAGTACCAGCAGCAGGCTGATCACTTCACTGGTTTAATTTTAGAGTGATTTTAGAGAGAGAGAATCAGAATGGGCTAGTCCTCATCCATGCCCCAGTCTCCATTAGATACTGGGTACAGTCACTTCGCACTCACTTAGATGAGACTGGAATGTAAAGCTAGATGTCATCAGGATACTGACCACACTGAGACCCACACTGCCTCACTAATTCCCCCTGCATGCAGGTTGGACAAATAAGACCCTGTGGAACCCCACAGGACACAGAGCTTAGGTCAGACAAACAGTTGCCTATTATTATCCAGAAAGAAAACATACCTGCTCAGAGTATACACTCAACAAAAGTACCTCAGCTCAAAGACCTGAGGACTCCAGATACTGCTGAGAGTGTTTCACCATATCAAGGAAGTTAGTTAACCTTCCAAAAAATGAGAGCTCCATAGAAGGCTGACAGAACTGGAGAGATTATCTACATTAGAAAATGGTTTCTTGAGCAAGTATCTACATTACTTTTTGCAAGATATGCCAGTACTTTGTCTTCCCTCAGGGAAGCACTGACTGCTCCAAAAATGACCATAACTCTTCTACACTGGCTTTAACCAGGCAGGAGGCACATGGATGTATCTTATTCTGTATCTGTGGATTTCCCAACACCTCCAGAGCTTCAATAAGTATCAGAAGCTGAAACTCGGATTTTAGCACTCTGCAAAACTTGGTATAAAGGCTTAGATAGAAACTCAAGCAGGAGATGTCTTTTTTGTCCCAAAACAACCTACATACAGCGTTCAAAGAAATGTTTACAGTTGATACAAGTCTGTTGATATTTGCTACACTGCAGATACGATTCCCCGAAAGTTTACAAACTCACTGAAGAGAGCAGAACTTTTGATGTTAGCCCTCCGTCTGTTAGGGAAGCTTACTTAGGCTCTGTCTACACTGCAGCTGGGAGCGAGTCTCCCAGCCCAGCTACCACACTAAAAATAGCAGTGTGGATGTTGCGGCTAGTCACCTGAGCGAGACCCTGGTCAACCTGAGCTGCCACCTGAGCTGCAATGTCCACGCTGCTATTTTTAGTGTGCTAGCTCAAGTGGAGCTAGAACAAGTCTGTCTACCCGGGCTGGGAGGCTTGCTCCCAGCAGTCACACAGACATAACCTTACAGTCTCTAACCCACTAGAAAATGCCCTTTTAAAGTGGAGAGAAGGGCACAAAAAGCAGTATCCCATCATATTTATTTTTAGTGAAAACTGATGTAGCCAATGGGGGGAGAAAAAACAATCTGGATTGCTACCTCTGAGCACTGACATGCTGTTTCAAAGAAGATATAAAAGTACTGGAGGACTGCATGACATAATGGCTCAAAGTCACAATGCATGAGGTGTGCTGTGCAATCTGACTTGACACACTTTCTCTTTGAGTTTGGACATTTCCAGGTGCCTCAAACCAAAGTTTTGAATAATTTTAGCCAGTTTCCTTATTGTTTATCCCCACTTATGCATTAGAGAAAAATAAACATCAGCAAAAGTGATTTCTCCACACCAAACCCTAATTTACCTGGTATTGTTTACATTTACACACCGTTCCACGAAGCACTTGAGCTTGAATGATCACATACATATTTCTGTGTTTGTATTGGCACCACTTAAGAATGCACTTCACTAGGCAAATTTAGGCTCTTGTTCACTGGCATATGTTGCTTATGGTAACAGATAGAAGGAAGTATGAGACAGCAGGCAGTGGGGAAAAGAGATGTACGTGAGTTAGGATGGACTTTCATGGCTCAGGAAGACCAAAATGCCATAGATTGTTGTGACATTTCCAGCCCACGCAGAAGGGATGGGTGTTTATACAACTCAAACTAAAACCTCAAATAAATACACCAATCCATGCAAAATCTATGTTATGCAAATCTGAGGTTAGTCACTAGGGTGCATGGGCCTGGGGACAATTCCACCCCCCACACTTGTCTGTCCACTGTGTCCTTCCATACAGTCTTACTGTGATAGCAGCTATAACTGGATTGAATGGTCTTCCTTTGTATTGTCATCTCATGTGGGGACATCTCTTCTCCCTCAGCTATTCCTCTGTGACACTATGACACCTGTCTCAAGCAAGCACCCTAGGGGTCCAGCAGAAATTGGTTACTTAATACAATTGTTATTTAACTGATGGCCTCTTGAATTCAGTGGGACTCTAAAGATAAAAGTAAGCAGAATTTGACAAGGTTCAGATGGCAGGCAGAGGGTGCCGCTATAGGCTTGCTTAGAGCACCTTTGACATACCAGCCTTCAGCCCGAGACAACAGGACCCACAACAATTGATGATAAACATCAAGTGCATTTATAAACCAGTTAGTTGTTCTCATAGTCATTTCAAGAATCACTACTACTTAATGGCATTTTTTAACCAAGTATTAATTTCAGTTTCTCAATATATTACATCATTTCACACTTGACTTCTCATCATTTTACAAACAGACATATGAGAGTATTTGTCTTTACATCTTTCTCTTGGTCTTCTACAATCTTAATCCAAAGCTTCCAAAATGATTACCCATTGCAACTTGAATCTCTGCCAAGTTCTTACTATCATATTCTTAGTAAGGAAGTCTGGCACCCACTGGTAAGAAAATATCCACATTTATCTGTGGTGTAAAACCAAGAGCAAAGAAACCTGTCTACTTGTTAATGGAAATTTTTTTCCAAATCCAGCGTTGTCTTTTTTTTCTGTTGGGAAGTATAGGATATTAAGCTCTTCAGGGTACAAGCTGCGGCCTTCTTTGTGCTTGCTTGGCACATTTGGGAAAATACCACAATATAAATAAATCACCACATCAAAATATCCCTACACGTAATAAGATAATTCAGCTACCAAAACCAACAGAAGCAGAGACAAAAGCATGTTCTGTCAAGATCCATTCACCAGAGTAATTCTTCCAGGGGATCCTAGCTACAGACAATTTAAGATTTCAGAGTGTGTTCCTATGTCTTTTAGTGACACAGAATGTTGCTTACAGTAAGGACAAGAAAAGTCTAAGCAGTTGGTCATCTGTTGCTGGGTGCCTAAATACCTGCTGGTTGAGTTGGGATTCCTAGAAAATGACCCTGTAAATATATTTCAAATGCACAGGAGTAATGCCTTTTACCCAGTGTAGTATGCTCCACCCACTGAATAGATTTTATCCCATTGCAAATTTA